CCCTACAAGTTTGTGTTAAGTTTTTAGCTCAGGCTAAACCAGGGTGGCAATGGACTCCTGCATCTATTTTATCACCTGTGAAGTTGCAGGTAGTTAGGAAGTCTCAAGTGAGTACATTTTTGCTAGTAGAAAAGGCAGACACCAGAACTGCCAGCTTTCAGGACTAAGTTCTTGTGCATCCTCAGCTGTTTGAGCTGCTAGACCTGTCTACAGTCAAATCTGTTGTTCCTCTTCTGTACTTGGTTTCTGCTCTGCAGGAAGGGGCTTTGCTTTCTTTTCCCCATCCCACCCCCCTGAGCACAAGTAGTGCCAAAGCTTATGCTGGCTGAAACAAGCAGAAGGCTCAGGTCCCATGCTGTGCTGAACTATAAAAGCAAGGAATGTACTCACTTTCTTAATGCCAAAGGCATTGAGGATCCTTTCCCCACCAGAATACGCTACCATTTCTCACACATACAGTACAGTCACCACAGAACTGCACAGGATTTAAGCTTTAGTATCGGTCTCCTTTATAACGCAAGTCCCATTCAAATAGTGCACCTCCATAGGCTATTGGAATACCATCACTGTACACTTCATTTCAGAGACAGGACAGAAGTATTTAAATGGAAATACAATATATTCTTATAAATGCTAGTCTACAGATTCTGGCTGTGGCAAAATTATTTTACAACAAAGTTTTCTTGCCCTTTTTTCATAGGGGAAATAAGCGTTCATGTAAGCACTTACGATTTGCTTTGATGTTTTCTGTCAAATACATAGCTTCTATAATTTTTCCACAATCTAGAAAAATTACTGGAAAGCAAACTGAGCCTCAGATTTTAACACAAGGCCAAGACAGGCCAAGGTCTAGGTCTAGGATATGCTTTTCTGCCCCCTACATGGTTTAGCATTTTATGATCCATATGACAGAGAATATTAGATAATGATCTAAGAATGGAAATGTTACACAGCAAGAAAAGGAGTTTTCTTCTTTCCTTTAGAAAGGAATAAGACCTGCATGAGCTAAAATTGAAATAGCTACATAACAGCTCAGACTGTAACAAAGACAGTTGGTCACGTTACTTCTAAGTTACGATACTCATGTACTTCTTGACCGTTGAAGTTTTCTCCCCCTGTAAACACACAATTCAGGCTTCTAAAAGTTAAAATGCAAAGCCTCATAAAATACACTAACAAGCATCCTGCCCTCCTAAGTTGTTTGTCACATACTGTACAGGGCTTTAAGAGGATTTTACTTTCTTTCAATCACCAAGGGAAGACTTTTGCAAAGAGATTACTTTTAATTCTCTCTCAGTGGTGCAGAGGGATAACTAGAGACAGCCTCTTCAGAAGTTTTGACATTCTCCTTAATTATGCAGTGCAGAGCCTTTTCTGTGTAATTTTTTTTTAAAAAACCTACCTTAAAGCTTCATCCAAGACTCCATAATGCTGCTGTTCATAGCTCAGGGTGTGACACCTCCACTGACACACACATCCCCCAGGCTGTTTTGGTGGGGAGACACAAGTTAGTCCTTGGTTAATCTAATCCATCAGTTCTTGAAGACTCAGCGAGAGGCAGGACCTGGATGCATGGTATCAATAGCATCTGCCCTATGAGTCTGAGATTCAGTCCTAGTTTCCTGATGCAAGTTGCATGTAACTATTTTGTACAGTAATTACACACTAGACCATGCCATCTATGCAGTGTCTGAACAACCAGCTTTTTAGAATTAATTTTGTGTACATAAAGCAGAGGTTTTCATTACTTAGTCAAAAAAAAGGACATTTAAATTGTTTGATAATACCAAAGAGAAGCAGAATTTCCTAGGTTAACAGTTGCTTTATACATTCTCATTTCAGGGGAGCTGAAGTGATCATGTATACTTTGATATACCAGAGGCTTATTTTTGTACCCATGAAGGCAGCTACCATCACATTACACTTTAGAATGCAGACAGAGCTCCAACAGAAAAGTAACTGCAGAAAGCTGCTTCATTTGCCTGTGCTCCATAGCCATGTATGTTTGTTTAAGTTTGTCATATTTCTAATTTTGGCCTTTATGAAGTTTAAAATAAAATGAGTTTTCCATTAATTTATTAGACAAGCGGTTGTGTCTGTTTGCTTGCATGTCTGAATGGTGATTTACCTGCCAAGCCTGGGGGCTGCTGAAGGAAGAGGCTGCAGCAAGATCTTTAAACAAATCTTGCAGAAGTGTAGTGTAAAAGTAGGGGTCCAGGGGGTTCCACACCCTTTTGTACTTCCTCATCGGTGGTTTTACCCTGCTGGGAGCAGAACCTGATCATGACATAAGCACGGCAGCGCACATGACTGTTTCTATATTCTGCTGAGCATAAAATTAATTAGTGATTTGATTTCCAGTCAAAACTGGCAAGATGAGAGGAAATTTGATAGCAAGGGATGTTAAAAACCCAACCAACAAACCTACCCCAAAAATACCCAGAGAGCCCAGGAAAGTGTAGTAGGGGTTCACTGGTAAAGTCTGCAAAATTAAGCTATTCAACCACAACTACCTCTGCTGCTTTCTCTAACTGTATGCAATACAGACAATAGCTTAACTATGCAAGTTTAAGTAAAAACTTTTAATACAGTGTGGCACTGCTGTACTGGTTTTCATTTCATATTCAATTCTGCCAGTCCCAGCTTTTCCCCAACTCTTGGTCACACCAAAAGATGGAACCACCGGCTTCTTCCCTAAGCATCAATTTGGCTGGGAAACATTACCAATGGAGGAGTTCAGCCTTCAGGTCTCTGGAAGATGTAAAAGTATAAATATTTAAAGCTATTACAGCTTAACACCTATAGTGCACTGCATCTAATTTTCACGAAAACAGGTTTCTTTACCTCCAGTTCTGCATGGCCTTACCGCAAATGTCAGCAGCATTAAGTACAGAGGTGCTCTGTAACAGAATAGCTTCCTCTCTTCTGCATACTGAGGGATTTTGGAAAATTTGACTCAATCGCTGTTCTTGCACAATTCAGAATAAAAAGTGAATCATGGAAGGAGGTAACAGTTGTCCACGTACTGCAACAGATTCTGATACCAGAGAGAGTGACACCAGGCTGCAGTCTTTGACTGGAAATGGGTATTCAAAGACTAAGTTTGCTGTGGGAGAAGATTCGGTTCTTAGTGTTCGAGATAGACTTTGCATGCACGCACTCAACATGAAATGTGGAAAACAAAAATGTTTACTGTAGTGTGAAGAATTTTACATTAACTCGGAGAATAGATACACAAGCTGTGGCAGGGACAAAATACAACAGGACTGCAAAAACATAGAATAGAAAATACTTTGGGCAATACTAAAATTCCCATCAAATTAACAATAGAAACTGACATCTTAGATAAAATGGTGCTTTCAGAAATGCTGAGCCACCAAAACTGAAGAGTCCTAGGATTTTTACTACCACTTATTAGCATAATTACCAGACACTACTACTCCCTAACAGCTGCTGGCAAAACATGCCTGTGCCCTTTCTAGTTTTATTGAACATTTTCTCTAGGGCATACTAAAATCCCAAGTCCCTTTAACAGTTATAAAACCCCACACAGTACAACCTACGGAGAAGCTTAAGAACACATCGTCAATCTACACCAGCAATTCCTTTTCTTCATGCATATTTCAAGGGCGAATCCCTTACAACTGTCCTGAAAACATCTATGACTCCCATTTTGGGGCAAAAAAACCCCAAAGTGCTGAAAAATAATACTTCACTTTCTCAGGAGAGGGGAAGGGCAAGTGGCCAATCAACTCTTTTCGGTCACTGGAATCGCCCTCAGCGTCCAAGCCAGATTTGGGAAGGTGGCTAGAAAGGGCCCTACCACCGCTGGGTGTTGCCATCCCCTGTCCGTCTGTCTGTCCCTTACCACCAGTTTTTAGAGGCGTGACTCATTTTATCCTTTCTGTGAGCACCAAGGGAAGAGTGAAGGTGTTCAGACCCCACACATGCAACAGCTTTCCTGTATACAAAATATTTCTACAGTTTCAGCATCATACAGACAAATACAGATGTTTCAAGAATATGCCACTTGTGCTCAAGAGATCCACTGTATCTAAAGAGCATTTCATTTCTACAAAACCGATGCCAAACCGCGCTCCGCAAATGTCTGGCTTGAGTCTCGGATCCCCTGCCGGCACGAATTTACACAGGAACATTACTGGTTATTGCTTCAGCCAGGCTGCTACAAAACAATTTACAAAGTCTGTGAAATACGAGCACAGCTTAAACATCTGATAACTTGTCCGGCCTACAAAGGATTTACTGAATAAAAACTTCAGCCCTCCACATCAATTAGACTTCTTAGTGCAGCTTTAAATTCTTGGAGTAAACGCTTAAGATTTGGCATATCTTATTGGCACAATGTTCTTCAAACACTTAGAAGTTCATGTATAAATATTTATATTCCCCAATAATCAGGACAGGGCACAAGAAGGACTCAGCCAATCTGGGCAGCTTTTCTGCCTGCGCATATTCCCTCTTTGATTTTCATGCACTGAAGGGAGAGCTGCTTCATTCGGTTATCCAAAGCCAGCCCCTCAGTGGAGCTGCTCCTGTTGCTGCTCCTATTCTTGTTCACTCTGTCGCTTGTCTTGTTCTCAGCCCCTTCTGCCCTATCCCCTGCAAAGAAAGGATTAAACTGGATGTTAAACCCGGATTTCACTCTGCAACTTAAGCTTCAAGCGGGTGCCGCTGCAGCTTCCTTTGCCAAAGCACGCAAAAAAAGAAACACAGGAGCAGGAGCAAGATGCTTTAACGAAACTGAAGTTGGCCTCTCCCAGGCCGCGCTCGTCTTGTGCACCGCATCAGCAAATTACAGTGTAAACAGCCTTAAAGTGGAGCACACAAGAGTGGTGGTAATCCTCTGCTCTGAATTTGTCAGCAAGCTGCCAGAGCCTACAAGAGGTTTCCTTTTGGCACGTTATTTCTTTTTTATTTTTTTTTTCCCCGGAAAGCAGGATTTTCAGCAAGCAGGACAGGAATTTAAAAACAATATTAAGCTCAGATTTTCCTTAAAATAAACGTGCCATCAGAATCCCACCAATCACTTATTTTGTGAGAAACCTTGAACCCCTCCAACTGGGTCAGAACCAGGGAACCTTCCCAGCCAGGAGAGGAATAATTAAAACATTTTAGATGTCACCGTTAACTGCGGGACGCAGGGCCTTCAAGAACTGCCTCTCCCAAGGAAGCGGCCAGCGGGTCAGGGGAGCTGAGAAGCTTTTCCTGCTCCCTTTATAAAGCTGAAAAACATTGGCCCGGGGCGTATCCAGCTGTGCGTACCTCGTTCAGCTTCGCACTCGGGGGAGGACGCCCCGCTGCACTCGCTGCGGGGGCCGAGGACAGGAAAGATCATCCCAAACTCGGAGAGGGACACGGGGCTGGGCAGATCCAGGCTTCTGGGCCGTGTCACCGGAGGAAACTGAGCAGGCACCTCGCAGGGACTCGTAGGACCAGAGCTGAAGCTGGACACCGACTGAGTTTCTGAATCCTCTTCAGACACAAAGCTGCTGCCGTTATCATCCTCAAACGCTTCTGAAGCCACTGCAACGTTCAAAGAATATTCCAGTTAGCAAACCTACCCCCTCCTGCACTTTCTCCGACAAAGGCAGTTTCCCAGGTTTGCATCTTCCCTGTGTACCCATGGGCTGCCTCTTCTCATACTCTGCTCCCCTTGCAAAGCCTTAACCTGGCATTTTGTACGTAGAATCACAGAAAAGGTTGGAAAAGACCTTTAAGGTCATCGAGCCTGTGGCCTCAGGAACAGCACACCTGCAGCCATGCCACGCAAGACCAGCTCTACACTAACCCCTCACGCCAAGACGCTCTTGGATTTTTACTGTCCCTGCTGCTCACTGCCCTTGTTCACTTGTGGTCTTTGGTACCTAACTCAGGCCAGGGCCTGGTCCCCTGTGCCTACCTCCACTAACATCACCTTGATCCCAGCACAGGCTCCTGGGTATTTAAGGCACTGATTAGAAGACAGACATAGCTCCAGGGGCAGAGCACTTCCACCTTCCCTTCCTGCTTCTGCAGTTAAAATCCAGCATGAACTCCCAAGATCTCCTTTTGGATGAGGATGGCCAAGCAACACCAAATTTAAAAAAAGCCCTACCCACATATGTCATTCTCCCCGCTCACGTTTGCTCAGATCTGAATTCTAATTAAAGCAAACCAACTCCAAAATATCTGGTGAAATTAAGCTGCAGGCTCTTTGTTAGCAACAGGAGTCGTCCATTAAGGGAGGTTTAATTTTGTGCAACATAGGAGTGTAGATTTTGCTAAAATTCAACATTTTTCCATCTTGGCTCATTGCAGGATGAGGACCTATGAACAAAGGGTGCAAATGGAGGCAGCTACCACCATGGTTACTGCAGAGGTGCTCAGCCTCTTTCTGCTGTGTTTGCAGATTGCAGAACTGTACTTGCACATCGCAGAACTGACCTAAAAGGCTTCAAACAGCATTATCCACCTGCCTGAGCCCCCTCCAGGCCCCTTTGTGCTCACAGACAGTTCGTTGTGGCTTGAGTTTTGTTGTTTTGTTTTTAATGATGTCAAATCTGGGCCCCTCAGTTCAAGAAGGACAGGGAACTGCTGGAGAGAGTCCAGCGTAGGGCTACAAAGATGATCAAGGGAGTGGAGCATCTCCCTTATGAGGAGCGGCTGAGGGAGCTGGGTCTCTTTAGTTTGCAGAAGAGGAGACTGAGGGGAGACCTCATTCATGTTTATAAATATTTAAAGGGTGAGTGTCACGAGGATGGAGCCAGGCTCTTCTCGGTGACAAACAATGATAGGACAAGAGGTAATGGGCACAAGCTGGAACACAGGAGGTTCCACTTAAATTTTAGAAGAAACTTCTTCTCAGTGAGGGTGACAGAGCACTGGACCAGGCTGCCCAGAGAGGTTGTGGAGTCTCCTTCTCTGGAGACATTCAAAACCCGCCTGGACGCCTTCCTGTGCAACCTCATCTAGGCGTTCCTGCTCCGGCAGGGGGATTGGACTAGATGATCTTTTGAGGTCCCTTCCAATCCCTAACGTTCTGTGATTCTGTGAAATCCAAGACTGCAGAGTGGCTTTTCTTCTCACACACTGTGTCTTATCAATATATGGTGAGCACTACAGAAAACTGTGCAAGGGGTGAATGCAAGAAACGATTGGGCAAAAAAGATGTTTCCAATTAGAGAAGTCCTCTGCTTGGCAAGGAGCACTGACAGCAGCCAGACTACAACAAGCACAACTGAAACTGGAGCTTATTTATCACAATCTGAACTTACTGTACCGCACAGGAGCATCTGCTAGGGCCAAAAAACTCTTGCTGACGATGAGATGTTTTATTCAACTCCAGCAGACAGAAATGAAG